GCCCCTCAACTCACGTGACTTTTCCCAGCCAGCTTCGTGGGGTGGGAGGGGAGAGGACCCTTCTTTCCTCTCTCCTCCTGGGGGAGGGGTGGGGCTGAGAGGCGCAGGCCTCAGGGAATCCGGCATCATTTCTTTCTTCCAAAGGGTGTCATTTGGGGGGGGGTGTATGTGGCAAGGGTGGTCAGGAATGTAGGTTAGGTTTTCCCCTGAGTCCCCAGTGTGGCACCTCCACGTTTGTTTACAAGACAGGAGGGACAGGAGGCCGCCTGTGAAGGTGTCCCAGGGCACCTGGCTGCAGCCGGGCAGATGGGCCTACTCAGAGCATGGTTCTGGATGCCAGGCGCAATGGGTTGGCCCAGCCCCTCCGGAGTCCTCGGAGTGGGGGAGGGGTGTCTCACAAACCTGGCTCAAGCATGGGCATGCTATGCCTCTGACCACTGGCTCCCTGTGGTCCTAGGGGTGCCAGTCCCTCCAAGCCCCCTCTTCCTTGCCCTCTCTGCCTTCCTCCACTGCCTCGGAGCTCAAGGGCCAGGCAGGAATGGCCCTCATGCGCTGCGGAAGCCTCTTTTGTAGTTTTTGTAGTGATTTTTACACCAACTGAATAAAGAATGAACTGGCAGTGCGGGTCTGGTGTCACCATTCTGGGACTGGGTGGGAGGCAGCAGAGGCTTGCAGGGACCCCGGGGAGGCCGCCAGGCTGGGCCCCCAGGAGGGGCTGCTGCACTTTGGTGCCATGTCGGCTTGGTGGCCACTGGCCAGCGCTTCTCCTCAGTGCAGTCCCCTCTGACCTCATTGTCCCTCTCCAGGGCCACCTCCTCGCCAGGCTGGCTCTGTGCACAGGCCGGCTTCCCTGGACATGCCGTGCGGCAAGGGCCGCTCAGAATAGCGCCAGCCTCCCAGTTGGTAGAGAAGAACTGGCAATTAGGGAGGCTGCGGAATTTCTAATTACACGCCAGCCCCTCTGCCAGGAGCTGGCGCCCGCCAGCCGGGGGGCAGGCTGCGGGGAACAGCGGCTCCAGCTGGAGGTTGCCCTCGACTGACAACTTAGGGGAAACAGTTGGGGGCATTTGGCGCAGGGCCCAAGGTTTCCTCTGTTCCATGGGCCAGGAGCTGGGGGCAATGTGGGCGTGCATGCAGGTGGCTGTCTGTGGGTGGGCTTGCTTCCACAGTGGGCCATGTCTGTGGGGTTGGAGGGTACACGTGGCAGCTGCCACCTGTCGCCTGGAGGTGCAGCGGCTGATACAAGGGTCGCTGGAGCAGAGACCTGCAGGCAGTGAGCGAGCAGGATGTGCAGAGCCTCTGAGGTGGGAGCATGCTCAGAAGGGTCAAGATGCCCAGGAGGCCTGTGGGGTTGGGGTGCAATGAGCAAAGGGGTAAGAAGGTGTCAGAGAAGAGCTGGGGACAAATTGCATAAGAGTTTAGGGCCATCCTATGGAGCCCCATTGGCGTAGTGGCTATGCATTTGGGCTTCAACCACAAGGTCAGCTGTTCAAAACCACTAGCTGTTCTTTGGGAGAAATATGAGGCTTTCTATTCCCCAAAAGAGCTACAGTCTCAGAAACCCACGGGAGAAGTTCTAGCCTGTCCTAGAGGTCACCATGAGTCCTAATGGCCTCGATGGCTGTGAGGGCTTTTGTTAGGTCATCGTGAAGAGAGCAGTATTTTATCCTGAGACAGCCAAGAAGCCACCGACAGCCGAGTCCCCAAGCCCTCCATGGTGGCTCCGTGGTAGAATTCTCCTCTTCAAGGCTGGAGACCAGGGTTTGATTCCCAGCCAGTGCAGCTCATGTGCAGCCACCACCCTGCCAGTGGAGGCTTGTGGGTAGCTATGAGGCTGAACAGCGTCCAGTGGAACTTCCAGACGAAGATGGCCTCAGGAGGAAGGCCTGACATCTACTTCTGAAAGTCAGCCGGTGAAAATCCTGCGACTGACAATGGTCCATTCTGAAACTGCGCCTGGAGAGGGTGGGGGGCTGTGTGGCATTCCCTTCTGCTGTCGCCACGCGCCGGGAGCCAACTTGACATCAGTAACAACCCGTGCACAGCTCTGGCACGTAATGCCAGGGGTCTTCAACACCCACCCCCACCCCCACCCCCGTGTCCCTGTCCATTCTCCGAGCCGTGCACAGGCATCTGCTTATCCACATCCTTGCCCGCATCTGGTACAGTCGGCTGTTTAAACTCTGCCAATCTGAGGAGTGTGACATATAAACCTCATTATGATTTCAGTTTGCATTCTTGTGTCAAGCACATTGGTACATTGGTTGCCATCATCACTCTCAAAACATTTGCTTTCTACTTGAGCCCTTGGTATCAGCTCCTTATTTTCCCCCCTCCCCCTCCCTCACGAACCCTTGATAATTTATAAATTATCATTTTGTCATTTCTTAC